ATCTACGCCCCTATCACCTGTTCACCTTCTTTAACTGAGGACAACCCTTTGTTTCTAATAACCATTCAATTTCTCAAATGTCTTTCAACTTTTCTTCACCTACTTTTCATCTTTCCCATCGTCTACCCATCATTCAACTTTTCTTCACCGACTTTTCACCTTTCTCATTTTATTTCCACCATTCAACTTTTTTTTAACGGCTTTTCATCTTTCTTATCGTCTTTCCATCTTTTCATCTCAGCCAGAGTCTGTGGCAGTTGGTGTTGGGTCGTCTCTGGGAGGAAGTAGGTGCTGAAGCTTAGAAGAAGGTTTCCCACACCGAAGATGACACCTGGGGCGTACACGATTTCCTTCATGAGCATCTCCGAGAAGGGAGATAGCATCCCGCCCACTCGAGCACTCAGGTAGGACACACCAAAGCCCATGTTCCGGAGGTTGGTGGGGAACAGCTCAGGAGTGTACGTGTAGATGATGTTGTAGGACCCTGTCACCGACAGTTTTCCGATCAGACTCAGGACCATTATGGCTATAGATTGTTCTGGGGCCAGGTATCGAAGCATTGCCATAGAAATAAGCGAAGCTCCTGTGAGCAGACTGAACAAGCTGAAACATAATCGCCGTCCTAGTTTGTCTAAAAAGAGGTATAAGAAAAACGCCTGGGGGATTTCCACTAAAATATTTATAGCAAAGTTGAGATATAGACTACCATGAAGGGTTGAGGCCATTAGAGTCAAAGAAAAGAATGTAAGGCTGTTGAAAAACCAGGAAACTATAGCGAATATGACATGAACTCTAAGCATGGGGTCGGTGAAGAGCTGCCAGAAGCTGAGTTTTTCTTCTTTGTCTATCTCTGTCCCAGCCTGCTGCTCTGTGTCTACGACATCAGTGGTTGACTTTTGCTTTGTGTCTTTGCTTCCAGTTTCCTTCACAGATTGTCCTGATTCATCGTTTGGGGGATTGACTATGAAAGACCCGATGGGCTTTATCTCGATGCCAGTATGCATGTTACTGTTTTCGTACCTACCCCGAGTAAATGCCTTTATTACACGTTCAAAGCTCTTACCGTTCTGTTTCGAGGCGCGTTTTAAAATTTTGACAACTTCGGCTTTTCTGCCGTTTGCAGAGAGCCATCTCAGACTCTCATCAAGAAAAAAAGGCATCAATAGAATAGGTATATAAAATGCTAAAAGACCTAGTTCTAGACTTTTCCAAGAAGAAGATCTGAACAAATAAGCCATAGGACTCAAAGTAATGGACGCCAAAGACCATATCACACTTCCCAGACAGGCGAACATACTGGCGCGGTGTCTGGTGACGAGGATTTCCATATTCATGGTTACACTAGAAGCTTGCAGACCTTGAACGAAAATACCCACTAAAATCTTAAACACGGCAAGCATGGGATAGTTGACAGAAGTAGCCAGGCCAATGGATGATAACAAACTCATAACAGAACAAAACAGAACCACAGGTTTCCGGCCGTGATGGTCGACAAAGTAAGGGAAGGTGAAGGTGGCTATGGCGTTTCCTATCACAAGCAGTGACTGCGACAGTCTGCCCAGAACTTCTCGGTCACAGACAAGGTCAAAGTCGGAGTAAAAAGATCTGTCCTTTGGGAGCTCATACTCAACTTCGAGGGCACTGCAAGCTCCAGAGCCCGATGTGTTGTGAGATGTTTTAGCGACACATGAGTCTCCGAACTTATGCAAGGAAGAGATATTAATAAATTCACTGGAGTTTAAACTGGAGTTGCTGGTTGATATGTTTCCGGTGATCGGGCAACGGAAGTGGTTGGTCTGTCCAGTGAACATCACACTCACCATTTGTTGAGTAATGCACAACGCGAGCACAGACTGCAATGTGTATTGAATTAGCGTATACCGACCCAGAGGTTCCAATTCTTCCAGGGCGGCATCCACATCATCCTTATCTTCGGTGTTAGACATTTTACTGTTTTAAACAAATTTAACCCTACAGTCAAACTTTGAGATAACTCTTGATTAAAACTTGTAAAAGATCCTAATGAATCACACTTGGAGGACCCAAGACGCTTTAGTCTATGGTGCCAAGAAAGGAGCAAGAAGTATTTCAGCCTCACTGTTGTAGCTCAAACGTCGTAGATTCTCCGCTGGGAGAGGGCTGAAACGCTTACGGAAGAATGCCTTTGTTCTGATGATCCCCTGGTATTAACGCAAACAAAACGATTGTTAATTGCACTGTTACAAACCAGTTCAGTCACGGGGTATGTCTTTGACTCTTTTTAAAACCACACAAGTTGCACCATTATTTTGCAAATAGAAGCTATCACTGAGGGAAATCAGAGGAGCATTGTCACTGAATTCTTGTCCAGTCTCCCGATTTAACGAACAATCCAATACAGCTGTAACTGATCCACGTGTTTCCTTCACACGTTTTTTTCCTACTAATACGAAGAAATAATATCAATGTTTCTCGAAGATAAAAGTTTGTATGTTGCTCAGCGAGCGAGGCAATCGGGCATCCAAGCTGAGCCGTCTGGCAAGTGTAGGTAATTTTTTGCTTGAAGTTGGATTGGACTCTTATCTGTTCAAATAAAGCTTGTGTTGGCCTTCGTTGCTAAAGTTCTTCGCTATTCTGAGCAGTGAAAAAGCGGCTGAGGTATTTGAACTTAATCATGATTCACAAGTTTAAACAGTATGTGATACACGAGGTTCTGAATGATGCTTAACACTTATTTTATTCAGAGCTCTTCATAATATAAGAAAACAGACTGGTGTCGACGTACTCCGAGATTCGGAACTATTCACAAGTTTTCATAATGTTAGACGCCGAAAGCTGATTGCAATGATTCCGTCTTGAATGCTGCGTACAAGAAGTTTATAAAATAGTGTACCAAGTTATAGTTATAGTTTAGACTAAAAGGAGTACACGAGGGTATTAAGTACAATTACCATGTCTCTGAACAGAGCTCGAGGTAATTCAACCTCAAGAGCTCTTCAACGAAGTCCATATTTTGTTCTTATCTATTCTGACACTACACTACGTAATTTGGAGGGAAGGTGGAACGAGTTCAGGTTAGACCTACTTCCTTTGTATATTATGCCAGGCTAAAGGGAACCATAGCGGTTTGTCTTCAGCAAAGTCCACTGTGTCCCTTAATCACCAAACACTTCCGTACCCGCTACCTGTGATAACACAAAGTATTTTCTTTTATACGACTCTGAAAACTGGTCTATAGTTGAAATCAGTTTCAATGGTCAGCAAAAAGCTGCATTCGTGCATGAGAATAAATTATTGCTATGTGAAGGTAAATTTTAATGAACAATATATCTGTGACGATAACCCCCTCAGACCTACCTTCACCAAAACCCATGATCCAAGTGCTTTTTTAAAATGTTACGGGAAGATTTGAAATGCTTGAAGAAAAGAAAGTGTCCTCATCAAGATGAATGCTTAGAAAAGGAAATTGAAAAAAAACCCCAAGTGTTTTGCATAAGGTTGCAAAAAGATGTCAAGTGTCCCCATTTAATAACAGTAGTTTAGCTTTCATCGACTAAATACTTAACCAAAAAAAAAACAACCCCATTTAAAGTTTCACATGACAGTCTGTAACTAATAGGCGGCATTCGCTACGTGATACGAGTACGAAGTTTCTTATCTTCAGCTGTTTATCATTATGACTTGGTATACCAGAGTCAAATTAGACCGGCGTTTTTCATCTCAAGGCTCGTCTCTTCGCCTTGAGGACTCTCGCTTCACTTCCATGCAGTAGTGCTGGGCGGCTAGGTTCGCGATCATTGAAAGCTAGGAATCGTAGGAATCGACTCCGAACACAATTACTTACTTTCTAATTATATGATTTCTTCCGGTGGTTACCTGGTTGGCTCAAAAACATCTTCAAGATTTAGGATTACCTTGATTTCGGAACACTACAAGCGTCACCTTTTATTTTTCAAAAATAAATTCTAAAAAAAGAAAAAACAAAGATTTTAGTGATTAAAGTAGCTGATAACTGTTGCTTTACGTAAAAAGGGGTCGGAACTTTTCTTCAGCGTTGAACGTGGGAATCGGTTCCGGACTCGATTCTTCGCCCAATTCTACCATGCAGTAGAACAGTATTACACTTTCAGATGGTTTGTATCTCACATAGTCTGGATTTCTCCAAACATATAGACTCGAAACTGCTCTAATAAACGGTTTTAGTTGTGCTCGAGGGAACATAAAACAAGAAAATATAATTAATAATATATGGCTTTAACCATATATAGCGCTCAATCCCAATTAAAACACACAAGCTCTGAGCACTTTGTAGCATTATAATAATTACATATAAACAGTAGGCCTACATTGTGTTTCGACAAAAATAACTAAATTGACGAGTACATCATCAATTAAATTTAAAAAATAGAAATGACTATAGCTAACATTTGAATAAATAAAAAGATTTGATCTCTCTTTATCTACTGGGAAAAGCATTTTAGACCTTAGGGCCGTGAAATACAAATGCCCTTTCACCCACTGTTTGAAGTTTCATAAATAGTTAAATAAATTTCTTTTTGTCTGATGATGACCTTAAACTGCGAATCGGAATACATCGACCTAAGCTACTGAAAGCCTCGAGGAGATTTGTTGAAAGCGCTACATAAAACTGGAGAATCTAGATAGAAGTATATAATGTCTTTCGGCGGTTCAATTGAAGAGGCCGGTATGCCACATTTTTAATAATCGCTGTTCAAATGTGAGGATCGGACTGTAAATAAGTTATTTACACATTGGAAAATACATTATGTGACGGAGACAGATCTGCGGCCACGGGAAAGAGACAAAAACGATTTTAGAAAAATGTGGCACATGGGTTTCTTGAACTGGACCTTAATAAGTTGTGTTGATATTTCTTTGCGTACTTGGACGTCGTTATTATTAGTTAAAAGCAATGATGAATATTGTGTACATGTAAGACCGACACACAAAGAGAGAGAGAGAGAGAGGGAGAGAACGGACAGAGATGGATAGAATTTGGCGATTGCAAGAAAGGGGGAGCGATAAATGTAAGAAAGAGAGAGCCAGAGGCAGGCTGACACACAGACAGACAAACTGACTTATAAACAAACAAGCCGACAGACAGACAGACAGACAAGACACACAGACTGACAGACAGACAGAGAAACAGACCGAGAGAGGTGGGAAATGAAAAGAAAGGGGGCAAGAGGAAGAAATGAAGAGTAAGACAGAGTGGGGAGAGGGATGACAAGAGGGAGCAAAAGAGACAGAAAGATAGAGAGAGGGAGAAAGAGGGGGAGGGGAGAGAGAGAGAGAGAGAGAGAGAGTGTGTGTGTGTGTGTGTGTGTGTGTGTGTGTATGTGTGTGTGTGTGTGTGTGTGTGAGAGAGAGAGACAGAGAGACAGAGAGACAGAGAGACAGAGAAAGAGAGACAGACAGACAGACAAACAGAGTGACAGAGAGACAGAAAGACTGGGATAGACCGAGAGAAAGAGTGGGGGAGAAAGAGAGAAAAAAGGGGAAAAATCGAAAGAGAGAAGAGAGAGAAAGAAAGAAAAGAGTGAATTGTCAAAACTTGTTCGAAAGATTTTATTTCTTCTGATGAATGTATCTATAAAAATAAATACTCAACAAAATAACACAACAATCTCATTGTATTTCTTTCGTCACAAATAAGGAACGAGAAAATGTGAATATACGGCAGGCCCACATCGCATATTCTGGAATGACCGTTCAAAATCCGAAGTCCAATGAGCGAAGTGTAACGTTTCGTTTCAAGGCATTAATTCTCCAATTTTCCACCTGTCACTTATTCTCAGCGATGGCACAAGAATCATCTAACACTAAAAAGTACAATGCTAGTTCTGATATAGCGATCTCATATTTACAAGAGCGAGAGAGAGAGAGAGAGAGAGAGAGAGAGAGAGAGAGAGAGAGAGAGAGAGAACAAGGGTAACATTAGTTCGAGAAATCAAAATGTTTCTATTAAAAACTGTAAGATAATATTTTCCAGCAAATGGGACGGCTTTAAGTTTAAGAACCTTGGTACAATGGCCTAAGTACCATGACTTAAGGGTATTGTGCTCTAAGTAATATGAGCCATGTGCGACGATCCATAATATAAAGACAATTCCAACTTAGGAAAAAAAAAATAATAGAAAGCTTAACCTGCTGAAGGCTCTCAAGTTGAGAAGTTTTAATTCTTTTTGTTTTGTTCTTTTTTTTTTTGGGGGGGGGGGGGGGGTATTTTTCTGACGTTTAAAAAAAATGGTAAGATTTTCAAGAACTATTGGAAACAAAGAAATTGTTCCAAAAGCGGTCTGGAAAGACATTCTGACGATGCTTGAAGAGTATACATGGCACTCCAAGCACGTGGCTCTGTCCTATCAACGAACAACGATACGGCAGAGGTCCTATCTTCTGAAAAGCACTTAACCTTGTTTCTAGCCCTACATCTTCCCTTCTTCTGTGTTTCCTTGGGCGTTGGCTGCAATGCCTTGTTCGTAACAGAAAGATGACAACGGAAAGATTGCGCGTTTGTCTGTCTTTTCGCTGTGGCGCAGTTGAGATTCGGCACACATTTTTAATAGGTAAACACATTTTCAAGAGTCAGCGAATACGTGTATATATATTTTTTCGGATGTCACGATGTGGGTTATAAAACTAGCAATTTTAGGGTAAACAGATTTTATAGAGCCAGTTGAGGCAACATACGATGAGTTTATAAATCTTCTTAAGAAAAGAACGACATTGAACGGTTGGTTTGTCAGTACTCCCTCCCCTTTCCCCCAAGGAGAACTCCCCACAAAAAACCAACGAAACAAAACCGGAACACTGGGGAATAAAACAAAACGAAACCAAACAAAACAAAAGGAAACAAGAAAACAAGTACAATAGCAAACAAAACAAATATTAAAAAACCCCAGGAACAAACTACAGAATTCAAAACAAGTGTAAAGAAAAAACTAAACAAAAAAATACCAAAATAAAAATCTTGGCAATTATACACCTGCAAAGATAGGCTAAAGTAAAGAGATACTACCAAGTGAAAAAGTTGGCTATTAAGTTACACCGCCCTCCCTTCCCTCACACCCACCCCCTTCGATTATATTTGATGATGATGCTGCTGCTGCTGCTGCTGCTGCTGATGATGATGATGATGATGAGGATGATAACATAATACATATAACAATGATAAAACAGAAGAAAATTGATAGTAATCAAAATATTACATTAATAATCATCAGAATCATAACAGTAGTACAAGATCAAAACTATGATGATGACGATGATGATGATCATGATCATTACCAAGATGAAGAAGGTCTCACATATCTCAACCCTTAAAAATTTTTTTCAGTCTACAGTGATGATGATGATGATGATGATGATGATGATGATGATGATGATGATGATGATGATGATGATGATGATGATGATGATGATGATGATAAAATAATGTCGTATTAATAAAAATACTAAGGTTAAAAAAATAAAAAATAATAACGCAATTTTTTTTTGAACTAATAAAAAAACAAACCCAATGATAGCAACAACACAGAGAAATTAATTGTAATATATCTGGACATAAATGAAATTAAATGAAAAGAATATTGACATTTCAAATAAATGAACAACTGACCAAGACAAAGGAATAATGCCGTATCGGGAATAGCTTCAGGGCTCTTTGTTTAAAAAGGAAATAGCTCCTTATTTCCAAATTACTACGCAGGTGATTCTATTAATGTTGTATAGAGCATTGATAGCCTGTCCATGGACACATTAGCAACAGGTTGTCTCTCCCCCCCCCCCCCCCCCCCCCTCCTCCCGGCAGTAAGATTTGCTTATTTCACGGTTGAAGTCCCTGTCCAATAGTGTGTGGACGAGAGTGGGTTAATGTTGTGTCTTTTCTGAATGTTTGGTCCACTGACTGGATTCAAAATCTTAATAATACTATTGTTACAGGTGGTGGCGGGGGTGGTGGCAAGTTAATGTCGCCCGACCTACTTATCGAGGGGTGGAGATCGGAGAAAGGTGTGTGTGTGTGTGTGTGTGTGTGTGTGT